ATACTTGTTTCCTGTATGTCTTGCGATCGTTGATGATCTCCTGTTTCTTAGCCCTTTTGTCCCAAGCCTCTGGCGTCTTGGTCTTGCCACCCTTGGTACGTATTATCGCGCCAGTTTCGCCCCTTTTGGTGCAGTACTCCTTAGAATACCAGTGGCGAAGAGTATCCATCGAGTAGCCGGGGTACCATCTGATGTACCAATCCGGCACCTGTTGAGCAGATACTCCAACGGAGTGCTCAGTACTGTATGGATAGCCCGATTCATCATGCGTAGGGCGTCTAGGAGCTGAACGGCTCCTTCCGCGGGCTGGCCCCGCTGACGCACTACCACGTGTCATTGGCCTTTGATCGTCATGCTCTGAGTCTCGGGGAGGCGACGGTCGCCTGTCCCTCTTGGCGTAACGCATGTCCTCCGAGTCCTCTGAGCTGTCCTGGACCATGAACACGTTTTGATAAGGGCTTCTGAAGTACCCGATGTCATTTAACTGCTCCATCGAGAGGTCGTTAATGTCCATTTGATCACAACCTTGCATGAATACATCCATAGACCAAGCGGGTGGCCCCGCTGTTGCGTCTGGCGTCTCTTCGGCGGGTGACCCCGCTAGAGCTTGGAGTGCTGTCAGCATCTGAGATGCTGACATGTTCGAATCCAAGTATGGACGTAGACGTGCAACTCCTGGGTGTGACAGCAGTTCGTTCATCGTCATCTGCTGCTGTGCTGGCGCACTCAGGAGTCGGATTGCTTCTGAAACCTGCTCTTGGAGCATGTCGTTATAATCTTCTTCGGATTCTTCGGAGTCGGAATACGCGGGATGGCCCCGCATTTCGTCATCGGCGTCTCCCGCCTCCGAACCAGCCCACGAAGGATTTGGCAGCAACGGCATGCCAATCACTTGCGGGGCCAGCACGGCGGTGAGTTCTTCCTCTGTTGCCGGGACGGTCTCGGCTTCGGAGACCTCGTCGCCGGCGGGTGGCCCCGCTGGAAGACCGAACCAAGCATTGTACGCGACCTCATCGACCTCGTCCCAGCCGTGGAACTCGTCGAAGAGGGTCTCTGCGTAGTCTTCCAGGGCTACAGTTGCTTCAGCGTAGCGGGCCATCACGTAATACGTGGAGGAGCCCGCGGCGGGAGCCGCGTCTGGATTGACGTAAAACTCGTAGTCAATGTAATCTATGTCATCCATAAAAGAATTTTGAGCCAAATGTACGGATCCCTTTCCTTTCCCCTTCGGGCATTGATCGCGCAAATGCTCTGTGCTACCGCATGTATGACACTTCATAGTATTGCCAGAAGCGTCCCTAGGGTTGCCCCTCCGCCCTTTTCCCTTACCGGAGGTCCGCCTGTGACCCCGACCTTTGCCTCCGATAAGAACTTCTTCAAAAGCCATATCAGTTAAGGACGTGAGGAAAGCAGTAATACCCCTACCATGCATACGGCGTCTGCGACCCCCTTTGCCACGACCCTTTCCAAATCGTTTGAAATGTCGGCGTACTGCACGTCTCACCTTTCTGACTGGTTTCTTCATAAAGCGCCTCCAACGGCGTTTTGATTTGCGATAAGCCATAAAAGCGGCTTCCGCTCTTTGTTGTTCAGAGAGGTGAGTGTCATCCGCTGGGTAGTCATTACCAGCAGAGACTATGCCATTGTGCTCATCGTCAGATGAGGTATCTGTGTCAGTGCCAGATTCAAACGGTGAGGGTGGCTGAGACCCTTGAGCGGATGACTCCGCTTGGCCCCAGAGGGTTGTGCCCGAGGGCGGGCTTGCAGTGTAGGCGGCGCCTGGCGAGTAGTTCGACCAGGCGTTCGCCTCAGCTGCCTCTGCCGATGCCTGGCCGGTCTGCCCTAAGAAGGGCAGTGGCCTCGTTGGGCATATCGGCTGGGTCAGCCCAGGGATTTGGCTCGCCAGGACCAGCGGGTGACCCCGCAGTCGTGGCATAGACACCTGCATGTGAGTGGTGCCCTGTGAAGATACCCGCTATGTTGCCAGGAGAGCGCTCGGCAACATGTCCGTAGTTCCTCATCCTGGTCAGCAGCCTGTCATAGTCTGCTTGTGTTCGGGGCATCTGATGATTGAAGGGCTCAAGCAGGTGTTGGGCTCGTGACGCGCCAACGCCTAACGCTCTGAAGAGAATCAGCGTTAGGATCTGAAAGTTGGGGATGACAAATCCAACAGAGTTAGCCTCGTCACGGGCCATCTCGAATCGAGCTAACACTGAGTCGATTCGCTCGCCCCTTTCGACGCGAAAGTCGATAAGGGCAGTGCCAGAGTTGAGCTGGCGCTCATCTTCCAGATTTTCAAATTTGGTGCTCAGTAAGTACAGTATATATGTTACTGCATCCGTTGGCTGTCCATTGACAGTTACACCATAATTGATGATCTGGGAGGGGACCTGCATGGCGATACGACGAGCCAGACCTTGAAGGCCTCGTTGTAGTGCTGCAGCTTGTTGTGGTGGTGTCATATTGCCGCTCGTTACGTTTAACCATGCATGTACTTCGCGAACGTATTCGCGAAAAGGCGTAGTACCGGCAGGGTCCCATGAAGGGCCAGTAGTACGCGTGTCGTCCATCCCCTGCCGCATGTATCCCACAGCACATCCCATTATTACCCACAGAATGCCGAAGATAGTTATCTTAATCCAATGCATGTGCATTTCGGCTTCGGTGATTGGTTTAGGCTGTGGTTTGTCAGGCTCTGGCGTAGTAGCCGTGAGGCGCCTGACTGGCACGGGATGCAGGTGGCCCCGCTGCGGGTAGCCCCGCAGGGTGACCACGTTCTCGATCGAGTTGCCGATTGGCATCTGGTGGAAGTCGGGAGTGAAGTAGCGCAGTGAAGTAGGAGAGAGCGTCTCGAGTTCGCGGGTTGCCCCGCTAGCTCGATCGCGGACTGGCTCCGCTCCTCGCAGAGCCGGCGCAACATGGTATTCCACCGTAGTAGTAGTCCACCAAGTTGTGCCGTGGATTACAGGAATCAGAGCGAGAGCCAGCCACACGAGAGTGTAGCCAGCTCCGCTACCAAGTCGAAAACAAGCTGGTAAGCTTAGGTATGTGTTACGCTTTAAGCGTTGCCATATCCCAGGCTTTGGCTCATATCGCATGAGCAAGAGAGCAAGACGAAGCATGGGATCTGGAGTAAAGGATAGGATGGGCATCGTCAATGGAAAAGGTATTTTCCGATCTCTGATGCAAGTAGTGCGCCTCGGTGAGGCACAGTCATATATTAGGCCGGGCCCGGCTTGAGCCAGGCACGGCAGCGGTACATGCTCGATTTATACCTCGCCTTTAACCTTCTCCGTTTAAAGTGGCCCAAATCGTCAACTTCCTCGGTTTTTTGATATGGTTTTCGCATTGCCGCCTTTTCGGTCTTCAGAGTGTCCCAGACGGCCCGAGAGGCGTCCAAGATCGCCCCAAAACGGCCAAAGAGCCCCTAATGTGGTTCCAAGAGGCTCCCAAGACGGCCCCAAAACGGGCCCCAAACGGGGAACACGAACTGACATTTTGAGCCCTCCGCCCCAAGATGGCCCCAAGATCCCCCCACAAGCCCCCGAGGTGCGCCCAAGAGGTCCCAAGAGGCCATCAAGATGCCCAATTCAGGCCCCCAAGATGCCCCTAAGACCCCGCCAACACCGCCTCCAAAAAGCATCCGAGCGGCCTCCCACGATGTCCTTACAGGCGTTTGGGGGGCTTGAGGCCTCTGACCTGCAACCCAGGCGCGGTGGCGGGATGGGCCGAAGGCCACTCTCTCTCTCTCTCTCGCTCTCTCTCTCTCTCTCTGTCTCTCTCTCTCTCTCTCTCTCTACACCTATATATAGATAAACAAATGTATAAAGCGGTGTGTTCCCAATGTGAACGCGAGGTAGCTGCAAGGCCCACCTCGGTCACTATTGATATGTGGCATGTGATGCGCGGGTCTCTGTCCACATCTGGACCTAGAAGAGCTTGCGCCTAGCCCCGCGGAGATAGACAGAGAAGCGGATGCTGGATCCAGCTGAATGCAGCGATGAGAGCGTCGCCCGCGCTGGGGCCCCTGAGGAGGGGGGGCGGGAGCGGATGAAGAATGAGGCGAAGCGAAGAGGGGCGAGAAACGGGAGGAATGAGCAAGCAGGAAAGAGCGAGGAAAGAGGAAGGAAGATGGAAGCGAGACGGGCTACACCACAAATTCCTTCCGTGCCGACGTCGACCATGCAGCCTTGAACGAACCTTTCTCTGGAGGTCCCCAGAAACTCTCGACCAATGTTTTTGCCAACCATTTGCGCCTCGGCGATGTCCTCTTTTGGCCCAGGGTCCGGCAGATCTGCCCCTCAAGGCGGTACAGCCCTGAGCGCCTCCGCGGGCGTCACCGCTGCGTCGAAGCGGGGCGAGCCTGCCGTACCACTTGTCAGGACTGGGTTTCATGGAACCTGGCTTGGTGATGTGTATCGGGTCGGGCGAAAAGGGGGGATAGCAAAGGGGGGGTTTGAGAATCAGCTCACGTAGCTGATTTTCCCGGCGCCTCCCGGCGCCGGAGGGAGCTATGTATCGAGGAATGGGCCCCTCGGTGAGGCCGAAACCAGCTACATGCAGCCAATTTCGTACCCCCCCCTTTCCCAATCCCCCCCTTTCGTCCGGCCCGAGATGTGTACCGGGGGACGCCCCCCCGCCTCACTCCACTAACGGGAACCGTCGCCACCCGAGGAAACACCAGCTGCGGCAGACCTGGCTTCGTGTTTCTGGCTCGCTCTGCGGGCTCGGGGCCCAGGCACTAGCTGGCTCCCCTCACCCTGGGTGCGGGCTACGTCGGGCACGGGACTGGCCATCGCTCGGACGTCCATTCCCTATGTTTTTTTCGGTTTCGCGCGTGGTTTTTTCGCCAAATGATCAAGGATGCTCCTCGATGGTCCTCGCCGAAGGAAAAGTGCACACGTCCGAGCGATGCCAAGGGGAGTGCCAGCCTGCCATCCTCCCGCGCCGTCCTCTCCGCGGCGTCCGGCCCGGAGCCGAGCGCGGCCGAGGGCGGGCGCAGCTGCTCCACCTGCGCCTTCCTCCGCTTCTTGTCCTCCCTCTCCCTCAGCAGGGCCATGTCCTGAGGGCCAGGGGCGGGGGAGGGCCGCGAGAGAGGGGGGCCCCCGCTCGCCCCCCCCTCTCTGGGGCCTGCCCCTTCGTCCTCATGCCTCCGCTCCCCTGTCTCCCTCTCTGCTCCCCCCCCCTTCCCTCCCCCCCCTCTCTCCGCCACCCTCCCTCTCTCCGCCACCCTCCCTCCCTCCCTCCCCCTCTCTCCGCCACCCCCTCTCCCCGTGGCCACGTCCTGAAGCCCCCTCCCCCTCCCTTCCCCGTCCCCCTCTCCTTCCGTACCCCTCGCCCTCCCTCCCTGCCTATGCCACTCCGCGGGCGCCGATCTCTTGCTGCGCCCGCACTGGCGCCACCAGCGGCCCACGCGGCGATGGGCCCGGGCCCCCCCCCGCTGGCCCCCCCGCCCGGGGTCCCGCTGGGCCCCCCCAGGCCCCCGCGAGGCCGCACGGGCCCCCCTCGGCCAGGCCCCGCCGGGCCCCCACGAGGCCGCGCGAGCCCCGCGGCCGGGCCCGCCGGCCCGCCCCCCTCCCTGGGCAAGCAGCCGAGACGTGTGCGCCCTGAGATGCAATCGCGTGTGGGACAGCCCCTCGCTCCGACCGTGCGCGGCAGAAGTGTGGACGCCCGAAATGGGCACGGAAACAATGGGCACAAGGCCCAACAGCAAACGTTGTCCCGAACCAAGAGCGGCCGCTGTTGGGCAGGCGGCCTTCTGTCTCAAACAGACACGGGCCGCGCGACGCCGACAGCGAGTCCGGTTCCAAATGAGCAGGAACTGCTGTTGAGTATTGTACCCATTCTTTCCGTGCCCATCCCGTTCGTGCAAATCAGAAGGCGCGCGCTTTCTCTGCAGCTGTGGGGCCGGCGCCCTGTAAGAAGCAGCCTCCCTCTGAGAAGCCCCCCCCCTCCCCCTTGCCTCGAAGGACCTCAAGGGGAATCCAATCGAAGGCACTGTGCCCATTCTTTCCGTGCCCCTGTCGGTCGTCCCGAAGAAGGCCGTGCGCAGCAGCAGGCGGCGTGGAGCCAGGCGGCGGCGGCGGCGGCCACGGACCGGCACCCCGGGCGCAAGCCCCGCCACGCCCACCCAGCGCACGGGCGGCCGCGAGGCGCCCACGGGTGGGCACCGGCGACGCGCCGAGGCACCCACCCAAAAATCAATCTGTTTTCAAAAATACAATAGGTTTGTTGCAATTGTACAAAATTTCAGCATTTTTGATGATTTTTTAAAAGCGAAATAAACGAGTTATTTTACTTAGCTTAATACAAACAGGCTTCAAAAACAAAAAAAACTACATAAACGAGTTATTTAACTTAACTGAATACAAACAAGCTTCAAAAACACAAAAAAACGTGGGCGCCCGCGAGGCGCCCACGGACGGCGACCAACGGGGCGCCGGGTGGAACCCAGACACCTCCGTGGAGCTGCTCGAGAACGCAAGGGGGACCCCCCAAGTCCTTGGGCAGCGGGGCCTCCGCTGCTTGAGGCCGGCGGCCAAGTGGGGGTGGTGCGGGTGGCCGTGTCTCGGGGTGGCATCTCGAGACACCTCGCAACGGCGGCGCGGATAACGCCTGGGGCGGGTCTGTGCCGCCGTTCGAGTTGCGAGGTCCGACTGCATGTGAATTCATGCAGGCACCTTTGGGCACCTCCTTTCGGGTTGTGTCGCCCAGGTGTTCTGTCCGGACAACAAAAAAACAAACACTATTGTGGGAACACGGATCCGCACCAGCCCTCCTCGAAAAAGTCACCAGGCCTCGGCGAGACGATTCGAACTCGGGCCTCAATGTGGGGTATGCTTTCAAAAGAGAGGCACACGCACTCCCGCTCCAGCCGCCGATCAATCCCACCGCGCAGAATATTCGTTCAGCGAAGTCTCAAGCAAGAGACCCGGTGACGACCGCCCGATCGATGTCCGCCACCGTGCCTGCACGCTGTGGGCGTATTTGAATGCGGGGTGCTGCTCTGTAGAATTTTTGTGCTCTGAGAAAGCCCTCCCTCTCTGCTGCTGGGCAGGGGCAGGCGCACCCCCTGCTTCCGAAACCACAATCCTTCGCAGTAGACCGTGAATCATTTTTTTTATTTTATTTTTATTTTTGTTTTTTGTTGTTTTTGTTTTTTTGGCTCCCGACGCCACGACCCCTCGTAAACAAAGCTGTGTGTCCGCGTCCCGGGCTTCCAAGACGGCCCGGGCAGGCAGGGCAGCCGAGATGGCTCAGGATGCCTCGAAGCCGGGCCACGATGGCGCCGAGGCGGCCGAATCTGCCCAAGATGCCCCTAAGAAGGATGCCCAGGATGCCCCTAAGATCCCAAGAATGCCCAGGATGCCCCTAAGAAGAACGTCCTAAGATCCCAGGGTGCCCAGGATGCCCCTAAGGATGCCCCTAAGAAGGATGCCCAGATGGAGCCTCAAGACTGCCAAGGATGCCCCCAAGAAGGCCCACAAGGTCACAGAGAGGACCTCCAGCTGGGAACGAAGAAGCCAAACACAACAGTCGCAGTTTCGCCCCTTCGGGCTTCCGTCAGCTCAGGACGGCCCAAGAAGCCTCCACGATGGTCCCAAGACGGCCCCACGATGGTCCAAAGATGGCCCGATAGGACGCCACGAGGGCCCAAGAGGCGTCCAAGGCGGCCCCAACACAGCCCAAGAGGGCCTCCCGTGGGACCAAAGACGGCCTTATAACGCCCTTCGACTGTCCAAGACGGCGCCAAGACGGCCCCAGACACCCACCAAGAGGGCCCCAAGACGGCCCAAGAAAGCCCCAAGACGGCCTAAGAAGGCTCCAGGATGGCCCAAGAAGGCCCCAAGGGACCCCACGACTGCCTTACAGGAGGCCAATACAGCCACAAGACGGTGCAAACGAGTTCCAGGAAAGCTCCTCCAATAGTGCGGACGAATGTTGTCACGTGTAACGGCCTTCCTCTACCTCCTCCTCCTCCTCCTGCTCCTCCTTTTTCTCCTTCGGCATACCTCTTCCTTAGAAATAACTCCTCCCTGTCGCACCCTCAGACGTGTGGGTAGAACGAGCCGGGCGTTTAGCCTGAGACTTCCCCACCATTTATGATCTTGAAGCTTCAAAATTGCAACAGCTTCAAAGATGGAAGGCGGGCCGAATTCAAAATGGGGCTCTCGCCGTAGCGCCGCGCACATTCGTTTTCAACGTTTGCAGCAGTTTCACGGATGGAGGGCGGGCCGTTTTCAAAATGTGGTTCTCGCCACAGCGCCGCGCACACTTAGATCGAACATTTCCAACACTTTCACGGATGGAGGGCGGGCCGATTTCAAAACGGGGTTCTCGCCGTAGCGCCGCGCACATTCGTTTTCAACGTTTGCAGCAGTTTTCGCTGATGAACGGCGGTTCTTTTTCAAAATTTGGGTCTCGCCTCAGCGCCGCGCTCATTCGTTGTGAAAGTCTGTAGCAGTTGCAAGGATTCGCAGGGTCGAGGTCCCAGGAATGGCTTTCTGGAGCTATTTAGGACGGCCAAAACGCAACAGTCATGTTGATTCTCGGTGTTGAAATCCCAGGAATGGTCTTCTTGCGCGGTTTGGGATTGTCAAGACGCAGCAATCACGATGACTCGCGACGCTGAAGTCCCAGGAGTGATGTTTGGCACGACTGAGGATTCTCAGACGTTTGTTTTCCAATGTGGCATTTCTCGCAGTGAACGTAAATTCTTGCAGAGCCCTGTGAAGCGTGAGCTTGGAGGGAGGGTTTATTGCATCATCGCTGATGCGTCTTAGGTTTACACTGGTCTTCCTCGTCCTCCTCCTCATCATCATCATCATCGTGACGGCTCTCCAAAGCCTGGAGACACGAGGTGTCGCGCGTGACGGCCTCCCGCGCTCCCTCGAACAGTCGCTACCTGGAATGTTGGGTTGGCACGGTGGCGGGCCTTGCCGCAGGCAGCTGAATATGAGAAATAAGGAAAAAGGCAACAGAGGAAGAACGACGACGAGGATGGGGAGCAGGAGCAGGAGCGGGAGGAGGGGGGGGGGAACGGGGGGGAGAGGAACCAGGGGAAGGAGCAAGAAGCTGGTGACGACGACGGGCATGAGGATTGGGGGAGGGTGGGTCGGTGGAGAAGAAGGCGGGCGAGCAGAAAGACGAGGGGAATGAGGTGGAGGACCGAGGAGACAGGAGGCCGTGCTCCGACGCCCAACCTACCCACCACCTACTCCATGGGTGGCCGCCGGCGACGAGGGGGAGCAGGCAGCGGACGGCTCCGCCTCGAACTCCTGGCCAGCAAGCGCGCCCCGCGGCCGAGCCCCCCCCGGGCCCGGTGCTCCGAAAGGGGGGGAGACATCCGCCCCCGTGCCCCCGTGGCACACGCGGCGTGAGGCCAACTGCTGTCGGCCGCGTAATCCTCCGAGGGCCGCCCGCTGCCCCCCCCCCCGCCGCTCCTCCCTCCTCCCTCCTCCTCCACGCTCCTCCTCCTCCTCCTCCTCGCTCCGGCCGCCTCCACGCTCACAACCTCCTCCTCCGCCTCCTCCCCTCCCCTCCTCCTCCTCCTCCTCTCCTCCTCCTCCTCCTCCTCCTCCTCCTCCTCCTCCTCCTCCTCCTCCTCCTCCTCGCTCCTCCTCCTCCTCCTCCTCCTCCTCCTCCTCGCTCCTCGCCCCCACCTCCGCACCAGACCTTCCGGCGTGCAGTGGCCCCCCGTCGCGAGGGCTCCCCGCGCGCCCCGAGGCCTCCCCAGCGCTCCGCGGCGGCTCGCCACGAGGGCCCGGCACCGCCTCACGAGAGGCACCGAGGCGCTTCCACACGGAGCCCTGGAGGCGCCGGGGGGGCGCCACGAGGCTCCCAATGCATCAAGAGGATAAGAGAAGACGCCGCGAACAGAATTTTTTGGCGCTCCGCGCGGGTATCTTGGATCTGCGCTGGACCCCCCTCACTGGCGCGCGGAGCGTGCCAGGGGCGGCGCCGGGGGGGCCCGGCGCGGATCCAAGAAATCCGAGCGGAGCGCCAAAAGTTTATGTTGATGGCGTTTCTCTTCTTCGAACCAAAGAAAAGGCTGGGAGGCCCTCCACTAATGTCCAGACCGTTGCAAAATAACAATAAGCATCCATTTGCTGTCTTGTGCTGTTTTGCGTTTCCTGGGCCTCTCGGCTTAGTAGGGTTCCACGCGGGCCTCGGAGGCGGCGGCGAGAGGCTGCAGGAGTCCAAGGACGGTCTCCAGAAGCCCCCAGACGGTCCAGGACAGCCTCAAGAGAGCCCCCAGATGGCCCCAAAAGGGACCCAGGGCAGCTCAAGAGGGCTCCAAGAGCCCCCCAAGACAGCCCCAAGACTCCCCACGCGACCGAAAGAGAGAGGCCCAAGACGGCACCGAGAGGAGCCCCACAGGAGCCCAAGACAGCCCCACGATGGTCCACGTAGCCTTAAGTCGGGCCTGTCCCCCTACAGGGGGATTTTCGATGAAACATCAAAAAATACCCCCCAAAATACCCCCAAAAGGTAACAAATACTCGAAAAATAGCCCCCAGACTATTTTTGGGACTATTTTTGGATTATTTTTTGGGTATACTTTTTTTTTCGTCGAAAATCCCCCTGTAGGGGGACAGGCCCGACCTAAACGCAGCCTAGATGGGAACTCTCAAGGAAGAGAGATGGGAGCACATCTTGCGGCCTTCTGGGCGGCGCTCGAAGCGTCGCCACACAGGGGGCTGCGCGCCGGCAAGGTGGGGGGCACCTGCCGCAGGCAGCTGGATGCCCGCCATCGGCCGCGGGCGGTTGGACGACTCGGGCCCGAGCTGTGGACAAGGACGGCGACACTCCACGACTTCACTGAGGCTCGCGTGGTCTCGGCAATCCACGACCACGCGCGACGGGGGCAGCAAGAGAAGCCGAAAGGGAAGAGCCGCCTCGTCGATGAACGTCCCCGTTGTATTTTGACTGCTCACCCACTTGTCCATATCCTTCGCTCCGGGTGGCAATCGTGCAGAGGATTGTGAGGCCGTGGGAAGGATAAATAGGTTCGTGTGTGTGTGTGTTGGCTTGAGTGTGTGTGTGTGTGTGTGTGTGTGTGTGTGTGTTTGAGAATGAGAGCGTGACTGTGAATGTGCTTGTGTGTGAGTGTGTGAGTGTGTGTGTGTGTGTGTGTGTGTGTGTGTTCGTGCTTGCGCCAAAGCGGCCCGTTCGCGTCTGACCGATAGCTGCTACTGTGGATTCTATACACACATTTGTATCGAGGTATTCTGTGTGCTGGGGTCCAAACACCGTTGCGCAAATAATGCACAGGGCCTCAGAACGAACTGGAGCGCCCTGGAATCTGCCGACGACCCTAGATCCGACAACAAAATAAGGAACGCCACAACCCAGATCTGGGGATCTACATCCGGCACGACCCCAGATCCGACAACAAAAGAAGGAGGAGGAGGAGGGGGAGGAGGAGGGGGAGGAGGAGGAGGAGGAGGAAGAGGAGGAGGAGGAGGACAGGAGGAGGAGGAGGACCAGGAGGAGGAGGAGGACCAGGAGGAGGAGGAGGAGGAGGAGGAGGAGGCTGAGGAGGAGGAGGAGGAGCAGGAGGAGGAGGAGGAATAATCAATGGACAACAGATCCGACAACAAAAAAAAAAACGCCACAAGGGGCCTCGCCGCCCAAGACCTCCGCTCCAGCTCCCGGGCAGGGCGCTCGGCCCTCGGGCCCATGGGGGGCCGAGCGCTGCGAGGGGCCCGCCAGAGCTTCCTGGATGCGGAGGAGGAGGATGAGTGCAGTCGGTGGCAAGACTTTGGGGTTCAGGAGGAGGAGGAAGAGGAGCAGGAGAAGGAGGAGCAGGAGCAGGAGGAAGAGGGGGGGGGAGGGGAGGGGAGGTAGGAGGGGGGGGAGGGGGAGGGAGGAGGAGGTGGAGGAGGAGGAGGAGGGAGGAGGAGGAGGAGGAGGAGGAGGTGAGGAGGAGGAGGAGGAGGAGGAGGGGAAGGAGGAGGAGAGGAGAGGAGGAGGAGAGGAGGAGGAAGGAGGAGGAGGAGGTGGGAGGAGGAGAGGAGGAGGAGGAGGAGGAGGAGGAGGAGGAGGAGGAAGGAGGAGGTGGAGGGGGTGGAGGAGGGGGAGGGGGAGGGAGGGCCCAGGGAGCTGGAGGAGGGGGAGGAGGGGGGGGGAGTGCAGGAGGCCCCCTCGTGCTTCCGCCTCTCGCCCCGCGCGCCAGCCAGAGACCGGCGACGACCGCACCCCGCGCGCCCCCTGTGAGGTGGGGCCAGGCGGCGGCGGAGGGACGCGAGCCGGCGACGGGGCGCCCCCGTCCCTGCAGGGCCGCACGGAGGCCTGCTGCCCGGAGACGGAGGGAAGAGACCTCCTCCTCCTCCTACTCCTCCTCTTCCCTTCCTCGTCCCCCTCTCTCCTCTCCTCCTCCTCCTCTCCCCTCTCCTCCTCCTCCTCCTTCCTCCCTCCTCTCCTCCTCCTCCCCTCCCTCCTCCTCCTTCCTCCTCCTCCTCCTCCTCTTCCTCCTCCCCTCGTCCTCTCCCTCTCTCCTCTCCCTCCCTCCTCCTCCTCCATCCTCCTCCTCCTCCTCACCTCCCTCCCTCCCTCCCTCCCTCTCCTCCTCCTCCTCCTCCTCCTCCTCCTCCTCCTCCTCCCCTCCTCCTCCTCCTCCTCCTCCTCCTCCTCCTCCTCCTCGATGTCCGCCGAAGGGTTCTGCTGCTCCCGTCGTGCTCGAGGGCCACGTCCCAGAAATAACATTTCGAGCATCCAGAAAAGCATCCGAAGAGTGTCGGACGGGTGTCGCCTCCCGGGGCCCGACACGTGAAATCCTGCAGTTTCGGTACTTTCTTAGTGCTCGAACTTCTTTCGGGTGATCAAGGATACAAGTAGTTTGGAGCATCATAAGCCGAAGGGGGGAAACCTCCCCAAGACCCCCCAGAGTTTGCGGAGCTTCCGCAGGCAGGATGCGGTGATGCTGTTGTGGAGTTCCCAATTTTGGAAAGATAGCAATCGTTGTTTTTTCTTGTTCCTGTCCAATTCTGGAAACTGGTGTGCACTCTGTGTGTTTTTCTGCTCCAGTGTCCCCCGCGGCTCTAGCATGCTGATTCCTGCAGTGGGAAGTCTTGGGGGCTGAACTGTGCCCCTCGACCCCCAGAGTACTTATAACATCAACGTCGCTCGCCTGAGACATTCTGCACGAATTATTCTAGAAGCGCGCTCTAGCTCGAACCTCCCTTGCAATTTCCGCAATAATCGAGCTTTCGCCTCAGACCTCCGCAGAATTTGTTTGAACGCGATCTGGCCGCTCAGGAATCGCGCTCTCGTTTCTGATTTCCTAATCTTTGACATATTGATTCAGGAATCTCGCTTTCGCGAATTCGGATTTGCACTTGCGCCCAGGACTCGCGCTCTCGCCCGAGACTTCCTTATTGTACGATCTAATTAAGACTTGCGCATGGATGTCCCGCCCGCCCAACCCGCCCAACCCGCCCGCTTCAATGTCCCGCCCGCCCGACCCGCCCGTTAGGGCGACTATGATAACGACGATGATGAGGACACGTAGTGAGCATCCCCGCGCCCTCGCCGAGGGCAGGGAGATCATGGCAGTGCCACCGATACGACAACAGTTCGAGGCAAGCTTCTGGAACCTCTTTCCCCGCCTCCTCCTTCTTCTCGCTTCCTTCTCTTTCTACTCCTCCCCACCCTCCTCATCATCTTTGCCCTCTTCGTTCTGCTCCTCATCTTTGGCCATGCCAAGGTCAGCACAAAGACCGAGATCAATCTCCTTCGAGTGTATTCAAGCAATCATCTGACGTCACCGCTCCTCTTCCCCCTCCCCCACTCCCACCTCCTTCTATCGCTCCTCCCCCTCCCTTCCCATCCTCTTCCTCGTCCTTCTCCACCTCCCTCTCCCCGCTCCTCTCTACAACTATGCACCTATCTGCCCAGATCTTCCGTCAATGACCTTCGGCCTCTTTCGCGTCCTTTGTCGCACGACGGACTCCAATCTTTCAATGATTTCGTGTTCTCGGTCCTTGAAATACGGTGCTCCCTCTACAGTGTTGGCCAAGTGTTTGAAGACCGGTGCCTTGCTGCCGTCGTTCACAAAGGCGATCTCGCCCACGCGCGGGCCACGATTCAGGTCCCGAGTCGTTCCTCGACGTTACCGCCCCTTCCTTTCCTCTCCTCCGCCCTCCCCTGCTCCTCCTCCTGCTCGTCCTGCTGCCGCTCTTGCTTCTCGTCCTCCTTGCACTTCCTCCTCCTCCTCCTTTTCCTTCCCGATCTTCCTCCTCCTCCTCCTCCTTCCCGATCCTCCTCCTCCTTCCCGATCCTCCTCCTTCTCCTCCTCCTCCTCCTCGTCCTCCTCCTCCTATGTGCAAAGGCTCCCCTTTTCAATTGGTGGGTCGAAACCTGCAACTGCCATTTGGGGATCAAGGTTCTCTGGGACAACCCCGTCGGCGGATAGAAACGATGAAAACGCAAGGAAAAGGGATGGGTGGGAAGGGTCGGATTCCAGCTCCTCGTCCTCTCCCTCCTCCTGCTGTTGCTGCTGCTCCTCCTCCTCCTCCTCCTCCATTCCTTTTTCTTATGAGTAACTCCTCCCTGTCGCACCCCGTGGTCGGTCGAAAGGGAGGGCTGGGCGTGCCGCCTGAGACGTCCTCACCATGACCTGGAAGCTGGAAAGCTTGCAATCGCTTCTTGGACGGAGGGCGGGTCGTTGTCAAAATGTGGATCTCGCCTCAGCCCCGCGCGCATCTGTTTTAAAGTTTGGCAGCGGTTTCGCGGATTGAGGGCGGGCCAGATTCAGAATGTGGCTGTCGTCTGAAACCCGCGCACATCCGTCTTAAATAACTGCAAGAACTTCACGGATGGAAGGCAAAACGTTTTCAAAATGTTGCTCTCGCCCTAGCGCCGGGCACATTTGTCTTACACATGAGTAAGAGTTTTGCAAATGGAGGGCATTTCCTTTTCAAAATGTGGCTCTCGCCTCAGCGCCGCGCACTTTCGTCTCAAGAAATTGCGGGGATCTCGCTGTGGCTCTCGCCTTAGCGCCACGTGCATTCTTTTGAAGAGTTCAAATCCGTATTTTGGCACGGTGTCGGACTGACTGGGCGCAGCAGTTACGTTAATTCGCGGCGTTGAAGTCCCAGGAATAGTGTTCTGGCACAATTCAAAATTGTCCAACGGTTGTTAAACAACTCGGCACTTCCATCAGTGAAAATGAACCCTTGTAGGGGCGCGTGTCGTTGAAGAGTCTTGCGTTTACACTGGTCCTCCTCCTCTTCTTCCTCCTCCTCGTCCTCATTTTCTCATCTCTTTCTCCTCCTTTTGTCCTCCGCTCCTCGTCCACCGCCTCCTCCCTCTCCTCCTGCTCCTGCTCCTCCTCCTCCCCCCTCCCCTCCCGGAGCGTCCGACAACCTCGGGCAACTTATGGGAAGTCGTGAAAACCACCCCGCGCCTTCCAAAAACACTTGGAGAAATCCCGAGCGCGGGGCGCGCGCCCCAGGCACACACAAACCTGTGGTACCTGCGCGCGGCCGCGGCGGGCAGCGGCCGCGCGCGGGGGCGCGCGGGCCTGCCCACATCGCCTGCGGGGGAATCTCCCTCATCCCTAAATGTCTGGCGGCTCGGACCTGGGCCCCCCGATCTCTCGACCTCTTCTACACGGCTGGTCTCTCATTTTCGGTTCTTGCTGGCTTCCGGGCCCGAGGCCTCCAGAAACTCCAAGAAATATGAGAAACCCACCGCCCCATGTTCTCCGAGCCACCAGCTGTCTGGGTCCACTCTTTCCCCTCCTCGTGTGCCCTTCTCCCCCTGCTCCCCCTGGCAGGCCATCGTCGCCGTCGGCTCAGGCCAGGGGGGGTCCAAGGGCCCCCCCCCCTACTTCTTTCATCGACAGAAACCGAAGGCGAAGAGAAAGACGACGACCACGACCACGACCACGACCATGGCACCAGCGCCAATGCCGCCGCTTCCGAAAGGTGGGGTGGAATTCTCGAAA